CTAACCCTAACCCAAGTCCTACCATAGCCCTAACCCTAATTTCTTATCATAAAACTAAACCTGATATTAAATGCTACTATCAACCTACTACACCTATTTTCGGAAGAGTCTATTGTCGGACATGGTTAAAACCAAAACTTCATTTTGTCTTGCCTCAACCTACCATGTCATCGTGATCTACCTCCTAGCACAACAGTACTCCATCTTTTACAAAACAAGATTAGACACGTGAGCCACTGACCACAGCAGTGTTTGATGGGGCTGTTATGTTTACCCCCCCCCCCCCCCCATGTATAACCTAGCTATCAGTGACCTTTGAACGTGGACCAGGATGTTGGAAAAGTTTACGTCCTCACCCCCTCCCCACCCCACAGACAACACCAAAGACGCAGTAGACTAACGTACAGTGCGTCATTTTCAATTGGTGCAGAAATCGATTAAGTAATATAAAAATACGAGCTATTTATCTATTTAAAATATAGTGTGTGTATTTTTCTTTATTCAGGTCACAGATCTTTACAGTAGTTGCACAATAAAATCTAAACTGTGTTATTTGTTAAGTCTGTGGTCTAGGGTGGTCTAGTGGTCAGCCAGTATCTGGATTGAGGGGGAGGGAACACATTCCTTTATCCCGACACAACTTAGCGGATGCAGTCGGTCCGCTGAAGGGTCTGTTCTAAACAGCTGTTTGCATATCCAAATAGATACGGCTCCAGTGGCGATTGTGTGAGTTTAAAAATGTGTACAACCAGTCATTTCCCTGAACGTTCTCCAAACTTTGGGTGACAAACGTGCACCAGAATGTGCTGACGCTGATTCGCTTTGCCGCAGAATTGTGTGGTAGAGGTGATTGTTAATGAATACAGCAATCACACACGCATTCCGGCACTTAATGGGAAAAATAAACATGCACAGTAAGACCGTGATGGGATGACTAATTAGAGAAATGTCAACAGCCAATTAGGTTACGGGTTTGGACTTGTTGTTTACTCGGGAAAGATAAATGTGTGTGTGTCGGTTATTAGAGGAACCTGAGTTTGGTTAACTGAAGTGGCCAATATGAAGTAGCCACCTTGGCCTTTTGTAAAGTGGTGGTCTTAGTACATCTATTGTTGTCTTTGTTAGTGTGATTGGGGCAGATTGAGGCGGGGTGATAAGGACAATAAGAAAAAACTCAATTGGCCAGCGACGGTAATTCTTGAATTAGCGTTTTATAGTGAAATTTGCATAGGACGAGTACCGCCCCTTTGACTACATAGATCTAGGTTATAGTAATGACATGGACTACTAGTTGCAAGAAGCCCCCCCCCCCCCCAGCCAGTAGCCTTATCTCTTTACCCGGCCCTGGCCATGACGAGGCAGTTTGCTGGTGTGTTAATGACCACATTCTCGAAATATCCGCGCTGATTTGAACACAATGCCTACATCATCAAGGGGGTATCTGGTCCATAACAAGGTCAGATTTAAGTGGTCACGGTACAACTCCAGGCCGGGTTAATGACCGGGGTCACCTTACTTGATTTGACCTACACTCAACGCCACCGATTATTTTTATAACATTAATTTAAATTATCATGTCAGTCAGTCAAACGTTCACATTTTCCCGACCAAAGACTACACTAGTTTACATAAACGTATGACATAGCAGATATAGACCCTATTTAACAAATCACACTAGATTTCAACTTCAGCTAGAAAATTTCCAACATTAGTCAAAATGCGTTTTAAAATTTGCGTTGTGTAAAACTATGCTAGGTAGGAGCAATGTTTTTAGAAAACCCGTTCGGAAAAATCTACCGGATTATTTTACGTGAACCTCCAAGTGTTTTTAAGGTTGTGGGCGGGTTGTTCCCAGGTTGGAGGCGGGTTGGCTCAGGACTCTATACACACAATGAACTACACTGAAGTGCGTGTACTTGCGCTGACTTTACCAACGAGGAAATGAAATAGCCGAAACATTAATTCTATCCTGGAACGTGACCTCTGACCTGTAAGCACGGCAAACATCACCCGCTTGTTTACCGCGCGAGTCGTCTCAAGGTGACGTGTTTCCCAATGTTCCCGGAAATCTCAACGGGAAAACAAATTCCAACCGAAATACGGAATTAATCGAGGGGGAGGGGGTGTAGTGAGAGGGCAAGTTTTAAGCAAGGACACCAAAGAAATGACCGTTACGGTCTATTTAGCACATCACATATCAAGTTGAGGCTCTATGTTAGGACAGCTGACGTAATAGAATGTCCACCTTCTAACCAAGAGATGAATGGCTAGCACGCTAAAGCCTATATTTCATGATCAACTACGTAATAGTGATTTATACAAAGGATTTTTTTTTAACCACAGGCAATAGCTCTTCATCTTACAAAAATTAGTTTACATCATCAACAACGATAAAGTAAGAAATTAAAATTTTAAAATACTTAATAATTGATCTACACATGTAATCGGGGTGTAATATACAGGTTTTTCAAGCATGTCTTCGGGGGGGGGGGCTGAAAGTCTCAAATGCTCCCCCCCCCCCCCCGGGAGAAAAAATGCTTTCAATTAACACTGATAAGATTTAAGAAGAGAGACACACACTCGAACCTTGTGTAACACGTGATCAACCAAATGATAAGACTAAACGGGTCATCAGGCAGGCACTTGACTGAACCCGTGACAGCTAAATTTAGATCACCTGCCTCATGGCACCAAACCACGGTGCTTTTAACTGAGTGGTAGCCTATAAAGTGTTCCTATCATGACAATGTACAGCCCGAGGAGTCCCTACACCCCAATAACAGCAGCAGATTTAACCTTCTAATTGACACCCCAATAATAGCAGCAGATTTAATCTTCTAATTGTGTTGATTAAAACCACAGCCCACGGAGTCCCTACACCCCAAAAACAGCAGCAGATTTAACCTTCTAATTGTGTTGATTAAAACCACAGCCCACGGAGTCCCTACACCCCAATAACAGCAGCAGATTTAATCTTCTAATTGTGTTGATTAAAACCACAGCCCACGGAGTCACTACACCCCAATAACAGCAGCAGATTTAATCTTCTAATTGTGTTGATTAAAACCACAGCCCACGGAGTCCCTACACCCCAATAACAGCAGCAGATTTAACCTTCTAATTGTGTTGATTAAAACCAAGGCCACACGTTTCCGTGGCAACAACAGACCCACGTCACAACAGCCACCAGGTCCTGACACCACCACATAACAGATGAGACAACATGTCCTTACCTGGTTAAGACACAGTAGGTCATGCCCTGTTTAGCACTGGCTGCTCCCTACAACTGCCCCCCGCCCCATCCATCTTATGTTTTTTAAAAGCATGATCAGACCAATATATCAATTTGACATTCCATAGCACCCCCCCCCCTCCATCCATCTTATGTTTTTTAAAAGCATGATCAGACCAATATATCAATTTGACATTTCATAGCACCCCCCCCCTCCATCCATCTTATGTTTTTTAAAAGCATGATCGACCAATATATCAATTTGACATTCCATAGCACCCCCCCCCCTCCATCCATCTTATGTTTTTTAAAAGCATGATCAGACCAATATATCAATTTGACATTCCATAGCACCCCCCCCCCCTCCATCCATCTTATGTTTGTTAAAAGCATGATCAGACCAATATATCAATTTGACATTCCATAGCACCCCCCCCCCTCCATCCATCTTATGTTTTTTAAAAGCAGGATCAGACCAATATATCAATTTGACATTCCATAGCACCCCCCTCCTCCATCCATCTTATGTTTGTTAAAAGCATGATCAGACCAATATATCAATTTGACATTCCATAGCACCCCCCCCCCCCTCCATCCATCTTATGTTTGTTAAAAGCATGATCAGACCAATATATCAATTTGACATTCCATAGCACCCCCCCCCCCTCCATCCATCTTATGTTTTTTAAAAGCATGATCAGACCAACATATCAATTTGACATTCCATAGCACCCCCCCCCCCCTCCATCCATCTTATGTTTGTTAAAAGCATGATCAGACCAATATATCAATTTGACATTCCATAGCCCCCCCCCCTCCATCAATCTTATGTTTGTTAAAAGCATGATCAAACCAACAAATCACATTGACATTCCACAGCCCAGGGTGGAGGCAACAGACAGGCAGTTAATTATTTAGAAATTAAGTCACCATCTAATTAAGGTCAAATGGTTTCCCGACCATAAATCGTACCACAGTCATCTGGCACAGTGAAGTTAATAAAAATAATAAAAATTAATTAAAAAAACTATCATACCAATGTAGAACTGAGGGACATGTGAAGTAGAGTTAATATTTTTTTAACATTTTAATATTAAAACAATGTCCCTAAACATGGATGGTATATGGATGTGTGGTGTTTTTTTTATGTGATGGTATCAAGGGTAAGTGAAGAAGAGGTATTTCCTAAAGATCAAAGCGGTCCATGGACAGATAAAGTAGTGTGGTCAGCACTATGTCCAGCCACCTTTTGCTTCTTTAATGGTGGTCCTTGGGCAGATAAAGTAGAGTGGTCAGCACTATGCCCAGCTAGCTTTACTTTCTCTAATGGGCAGTCCATGGGACAGATAAAGTAGAATGGTCAGCACTATGCCCACACACCTTTACTTTTCTCTAATGGGAAGTCCATGGGACAGATAAAGTAGAATGGTCAGCACTATGCCCACACACCTTTACTTTCTCTAATGGGCAGTCCATGGGGCAACTAAAGTAGTGTAGTCAGCATTATGCCCAGCCACCTTTACTTTCTCTATGGACCCATCCATGGGGCAGATAAAGTAATGTGGTCAGCACTATGCCCAGCCACCTTTACTTTCTCTATGGACCCATCCATGGGGCAGATAAAGTAATGTGGGCAGCACTATGCCCAGCCACCTTTACTTTCTCCAACATGAGCCAGTAATTATTTGAATGTGTAGAGCGTGAGTGAGGCAGACAGTCATGTCAATGTAACCAGAAGAACAAAGACGTTAAGCTACTCTCTACTTACACTTCTAGCTTGTTGCCCAAATAATCTGACGAATCAGAGGGACATACATTGTACAGGTCTGCTTCCTCTAGAGGGCGTCTGTATCCTTTCTTAAACAGGGAGTTAACCCACCTGAGAAGAGGTTCAGATACAGAAATTAAAATGATACAGGAAGCTGCCATTAAAATAATGATACACAAAGCTTTCATACAATAATGATTTACAAAGCTTTTATACAATAATGATACACACACCTTTCTGTAATACTGATTCACAGCTTTCTCAAAATAATGGTTCTTATAGCTTTCACAAAATGATACATGCAAGTTTATAAATATATTAATTCATGCATCATTGATATTGATACCCACAGCCTTCATTTTGCATTTAAAAAACAAGAGTGTTGATTAAAAAATTATAACAATAAAATACATAAGGAAAAAAATTTCAAGACTTACCAGAACGACACCTTGGAGAAAAAATTTGCGGTGAGCGTTGGATTAGGATTAACATGACGCAACGATTCATCCATGCTACTAACATTCGTAGGAGATTATCTGATGTCCTTATTTAGAGTTACGCAGGCTTATGTTATCCTGACTTAATGTGAAATTCTTATGCTCAATCCTATCATATCTCTGATTCCCTTTAATTGCACACTTGAGTTGTTGACACTCTGGAGCTTCTTAAAGGCTGATAAAAAAAATGAAGAGCCTCTTCACCTAAAAAACAAAATGGTGTTATTAAAAAAATTTTACAAAGAACAACAGACTATTTTTATAAATAAATAAATTTAAATTTTATAATAGATGTAGATCTATAAGAAAGATTGCTGATAATTAATTAATAATCAGTTAACTAATTATTGTCAATCGCTGCTAATTGCGCTGCAGATTTTTGTATGTGGTACTGCCCTATGCAGCCAAAAAATTTTAAGTTAATGTAAAAATGGTGATGTGATACAACTTTAATGACTTTATTCATGTCTTTTTTTAGAGCTATCTTTACAATAAGTGGAAAAGCACATTTAAAGTTTAGTTACTTTTGCAGTTAAAAAATATTGAAATATAGACTAATTAATTAATTACAGAATATAATAAACATAATATTAAAACTCAATTAAATGAGACTTTAAGGCTACACCACCAGTAAACGTTTCAACAGAAATGTTAAAAAAAGCTTTGTATGTCTCAGTTTATATACGGGTTTTCCAACTGTTGGTAATTCTCCATGTGAAAGTGAGGTAAAAACAAATGACATTTTAAAATAGGGAATATCCTTAAAGCTATTTTTAGATTTCCAGGATTATTTTGTTTACTGTGGGAGAAAAGAGTAAGGGTATACTTGAAAACATCACAAGACCAGAAGGAAAAAAAATAAGTCAGGTTAAGGAGGGTTCAATCCAGGATATAAATAGTATTCAGTGTTACAGAATCAAAGTTACAGTTTATGACTTGTGTGTGATTAGGACAGCAGGGTCAATAGTCAGCTCCTGGTGCTAATAAGTTGGTATAAATCTTATTATAAATTGTTTATACTCAAATCAGAGACATAAAACTGAAATAATTAAAAGTAAAATACCCCTACAGTTACAGCTGCAAATATGGTTTTGTTGATTTAGTGAGGTTTTAAAAAACAATGACATCAATTTTTTTTAAATTATTACTTTGCGTTAAGAATTTCTAATCGTTTAAGACAAATCTTTAACTATTTATTTTTTCATGTTTAGATTTCCACTAGGGAATATAGACATTTAACACACAAGTAACAAATGTTCTGGGAACAGGTTATATTTTAAAAGCATAACTAGTTACTCTGAAATTTTCAACAGCTAGCACCTGTGTAAAGAGCTTCTTCTTCTTCTTCTTCTTCGTTCTTAATTTTTGATTATGGTGGAGGAATTAGACAACAAGTCCAACTTCATGGACAAACCGGACTGTGGTTTCCAGTTTGTCAGGTGTCCCATATAATTTTTCCCTGAGTGGGGTGGGCTGGGGCCAGTGTCTGCCTCTTGCCTGGCCATACAGAGTACAATCCTGGAGTACGTGCTCCGTGTTTTCCGGGGCCTTGCCACAAGGGCACATTTCGCTTCTAATTTTAGTAACAAAAACTCACATGACCCAATTGTAATAGTTATTTGATTTCAATAAACCATCTAGTGTTTTTGTATTTAAACACTTGTTTGACAATTCTATATTAAATCCCTTTTAAATAACTTGGTACTGTCAATTATCAGTGTGCTAGTTGCCATACTCAACTGTACTGCATTATAACATCTTGTTAAAAATTTAAGTCACTTGTACATAGGATATAAGTTATGGCATGATTACATCTAGGTCACCCAGAATCTTGCTCACCTGAAACTTTTTAATACTACTACTGAATAGTTAAAGAGTGTATTTAGTATAAAACGCTCTGAGAAGACTCACAGAAAGAGAAATTCAAACAGCTTTGATGGAAGGTCTTTGACAGTTAAAGTTAAATAGATCGGAATAATTAAAATTTACAAGCAGTTGTTTGAAATAAATTTTAAAATAGCAATGGTAATAGTCTAGGGGTAGTATAGAGTGATGCTTTTTTTTCCATTGTATTTATTAATTCAGCAAACTCCAGCTATCTAAAAAATATTAATAAAAAACTACACTATAATTTATTTTTATTGCAAAGTATATAAGGTTATAAAATTGCAACATCTGTCTAAAAAAAAAGCGATTCAAGCTACTTTTTAAAAAATCCATATTTTGTCGTATAAACAATTATAGGATAGGTTTTGTGGCATATGGAGTTGTTGTGAAACTTTACACAATTGGATAGTGGTTGGTCAAAATGGGAGTATGATATTACTCCCCTTCCATCAATTACCCCTGATCATGTCTTCAAGACCAATTACTCTACCTTCCAGACCTTACTCCAAACCAAATATTGCTCAAGGACATTAGCCCCTGACAATTACCTATTTATTAGGGTAACAGTAATGGTTTGGTATTGGCACTAATGGTAATGGTAAAGGATTTAATAAAAATTAGGATAAGCATTTGACTTTGATTAGGAGTAGAGTTAGGGAGATCGATATGGGGAAAGATAGGGATTAGTATTGGTTTTGTATTCAGTAGTGGGGTATTTACGCTGAGTGGTAATTGACAGGAGGTAATTGATTGAGCTGGGGGCTAATGAAATAATTATTTATGAAAATCTTAAGACTGTAAGTTAGGTTTTAATATTATTTGTGATCCTGTACATAGTATTTAACATTTAATGGGTACTGGTGGCTTTTATTTTTATACTAGGTTAGGGTTGGGAAGGTCAGTAACAATAGTAACAAGCAGTTATCTCTATAATGTTTCTACTCTGATGCTTATATGTTTATATTTGTGTGACATACCATGTTATCAAGGAATGGCAGGTGATGTGTAACCCAAGTCAAATTTCAGAATCAAGAAATACAAATATTGTGTTTCGTTTAGTTGGAATAATGAAGCTGTAGGTAGTCAGCCTTTAAGTAAGCTTTCAAAAATTCTATTATCAAAATGGATTAAAGCAACAGACAAGTTTAATGAGCGCCAGCAGCTGAGCAGTATAAGATAGTTATTTTACTTTCCCAAAATTGTAGATCTGTAATTTTGAAACAAACTGAACCTAGTAACATCGCCTTGAACTCCTCATAAGTCAACAAATTCTAAAAAATCATTTTAGATTAGTGACAATAATCGCAACTAATTGGATCATCGAAAATAGGTGTGTTAGGTTTTTAAGCGTTTGGTAGAGCTAGGGTTGGATTTAGGGATAGGGTTAGCAAGCTATTTGTGTATTTAGGTAACGACGCACATCTAACAGTAACCTAATACTGGCTAATAATAGGGCCCTACCAGTTTTTAAGAACATTGTATTATCAGACTGGTATTATATTAAAAACCACCCATAATTTTTTGTGGCCTACAAAGTCTTGCACTTGGGTGCAGGGATTTAGGAGAGTTGCAGTTGGAGGAATCTGTTAAAAATTATGGAAATTTTCAAGCTCTTTTGAGAATTTTGATTTTGAGATACAGAGCCATGGGCATGGGCAGACAGAGAGTAACCACACTTATTAATAAACATCATCTAGAAAACTCAGTAAAGAGACCCACATTTTAAAAAGAAGTTAATCAAGCAACTGACTGTGTGCAACAAATTAATAATTATTCAATAGTTAAGTAGGCCCTAAGTAGAGTTAAGATTATTTTGCAAAAATTATTTCTGTCAAATCATTTTCTTAGTGAGTGTTTCTAATTTCTCAGACAATATTCAATAAACAATTCAATGATTTAGGCCTACATTTTACTCTAACTCTGGTTTCTTTTATTTTAATTGTTATAACTAGCTTTAGCTAGTTTATCTAGATCTAGTTTCAAGTAGATTTAGGCCTTTTTTCGTGTAACTTTACTTTAAATTTAGAAAAATCTAAATCTTATGCACCGACAAGTGCCGTAAAGTAAAACTTTTACGTAATCAAACCTGGGGGGAACGATGAAAAAATGCCAGTGTTCTTCTATGTGGTAAAATAAAATACTCACATATAACTAGAGTCTAGAACTAGATCTAAGTCTATCACATGACAAATCACTTCGGTTGTTTGTTTCATAACACTTAGAAATCTAAATCTAAATTAGGCCTATATTCTACAGACTAATTATAAATTAACTTTATCAGCTGTTCTGACTGGTTTCACCATCTTTAGGTGAATGTACTCAGATTAAAAATGAAAACGATCAAGATCTAGGCTACGTATTTTTGCGAAACAAACGTGTATTTAAACATTGATAAATTCAGTCGGACTAAATGCCAAAAAACCAAACAAATGCCGAATAGAAACCAAAAGATCACAATGCCTTTGCGAAATAGCAATACTATAAGTACTAGGATAGTTATTTTTCTAAAACAGTAAGGGGCGTATACAGATGTTCAGAAAGTGTTAGCGGTGAGCCCAGTACAGAGTTTCTTTCAGAAATTCTCTCCAGTGGTGGTCGGGGCGGCTCTTGAAACTTAAAAAAAAAGGGGGGGGGGGGGAAGTTACATTTGCAGGATGGGGGAGGGGGGCAGACACTAGTTAAAGTATAGGCCTATGTTATTTATTGTATGAATCATATTTTCTCTATTTCCTCCGGGAGACAGGGGCGTTGAACCCTCGAAGAGATGCCTAAAAGAAACTATGGTGCAGAATAAGGTCCAGGGACTGAAGGAATTACACACTACCTGGCCGCTTATATATACATACACATAAGTACATATATCATATGTGTTGGACGGACATATATATGTATATATATGTATATATATATATATATAATATATATATATATATATATATATATATATATATATATATATATATATATATATATATATATATATATGAGCGTTGAGCGTGTAAAAAAAGCTAACTATTCGTCCGCGTAAAGCAAGTATAGTTGCATAAACTGTTGACAAATCTTAATCTGGCAAGTAACCAAACAATTGTGACCAACAGTTTATCGCAGTAGGCTAGTTGATCAAGCGAATGGTTTTTTTTTAAATTGTTATCTCCCCTTTTCATTATTTGACTTTAGTAATTTTTTAATTAATTAATTAATTTTATTGATTAGTCAAATGTCGAATTAGATTTTTAAAAATGAGATATTCCTGCATCGTCACCGGAGACGGATGTATCTGAAAAGTCTAAACGAAATATATGTATTAGAATTGGGTAAAACTGAGATATAAGATTTGACAGAAATCCACCAATTAAAAAAAACGAACAAAAACAAAAGACATTGTTAACAAAATAAAGGCTTACAAAAAGAACACTATCCTTAAATTGTATAGGAATATTTGAGCGCTTTGTGGACCGACTCAGTACGACAGTTTTGTTGTTTTGAAATTGTTAGGGACATCTGAGTCATTTGGTGGAACTCATAAACTTGATACATAGTATCGATATTCTAAGATGGGTCCTGTATCTCACTGGGCAGAACTTTTCATTCTGATATGCTTCTTTGTTTAAAAAGATCTAGTTTATTTTCTTATCGCTTGTTGTCGAATGTAATAATTTTAAAATTGTTATATTTGTTTTCCACAGACTGTGAATATATTTACTTTACATAAATTAACATATTAAAATGTGGAAAGAAACGCAAGAAACAAAAAGATTTAAAAAAAAAAAAAAAAAATTAAAGGATTAAAGGGAAATAATTAGTTTTAAAAACACCAGTTGTAAAAGCTTGGTTATTTCTCTTTGATCATAGCTTTTTTAAATTTTTTTTTTTTTAATTTATTTTTTAAAGTTTTTTTTTTTTTTTAATTTGAGGTTTGGCAGTGGCAGACAAGTTTGTATATCTGTTGTAATAAGTGATACAAGTCAGTCAGTTGATATTCGAAAAAGTCAGCACTTGGGCAGTGGCAAGCATGGAACCGTCGGTACGGGGCTGGCTACAGCACGGCTGTGGGGCTGGGCCTGGTACTCAAGCGTCTCTCAGCTGTGCGTATACTTTTTACTGCACTTATTCTCACTGTTCTCTGTGGAGTGTTTTAGTCCTGTTTATGTTAAAGTTGTGTTTCTTTACAATACAATATTTTTATGAGATTGGAACATGAAATAATATAATTATAAATATTTGTGTATGGAAGTTGTTACGTTCTGGGTTCGTTTCAAATCATCAACAACACTTCGTGTATAACTTCACTACTTTTATTCGTCTCACTGCATTCAAGCGTACCATAACAGCCCTCGTCCTAACCGCTACTAACCCGCTGACTGCCCCCCACAATCGTTCACTCCCCCTTTTATACCCGCATTCGACCTTGGGATTACAAGACATAAACACACAAGGGTAACTACACAGTAAGGTGAACTCCACTCACACAGGCACTCTCCCCTAGTTCTAGACTATTCTAACCTATTCTAAACTAACCTACAACTGGCCCGTAACACTACCCCCCACCTAAGTATTTGTAGTAATAACTACAAATACTGACTAACAAATCCTAGCTAAATAAAAAACACAAAGCCTTTCATACACATACACTAGTAGACAAGTTAAAAATATACATTCCGAAGAATGTATATGACAGATTGTATATACAATGAAATACATAATGACAACATACAGAACTGCTACAATTTCGAGCTAGCACAAATCATCCGTGTAACTAACCAAAAAAAAAAAATCATACACACCCAGTTGCATCGTACCGAATCTAAGACTTTCCAGACCACAATTTTTTTGAGTCTACCCTGTGCGCTCTATGGCTACACTGGTTTACGACTCCTACCCATATCTCAACCATTCCACATCACAAAAAATTTGAGTCAACCTGCGCTCTATGGCTACACTGGTTTACGACTCCTACCCATATCTCAACCATTCCACATCACAAAAAATTTGAGTCAACCTGCGCTCTATGGCTACACTGGTTTACGACTCCTACTCATATCTCAACCATTCTGCATCACTAAAAATTTGAGTCTACCCTGTGCGCTCTATGGCTACACTGGTTTACGACTCCTACCTATATCTCAACCATTCTACATCACAAAAAATTTGAGTCAACCTGCGCTCTATGGCTACACTGGTTTACGACTCCTACTCATATCTCAACCATTCTACATCACTAAAAATTTGAGTCTACCTGCGCTCTATGGCTACACTGGTTTACGACTCCTACCTATATCTCAACCACTCTACATCACAAAAAATTTGAGTCAACCTGCGCTCTATGGCTACACTGGTTTACGACTCCTGCACCTATCTCAACCATTCTACATCACAAAATTTTGCAACTCGCAGTCAATGTTGTTACATACTCTGTCAAACAGCTATAGCGTCGGGCTAACGGCATCCCCACAACATCTAACAAACGTCAGGACAGCAACCGGCACACACCAGGACAGCAACCGGCACACATCAGGACAGCAACCGGCACACATCAGGACAGCAACCGGCACACATCAGGACAGCAACCGGCACACATCAGGACAGCAACCGGCACACATCAGGACAGCAACCGGCACACATCAGGACAGCAACCGTCAAACATCAGGACAGCAACCGGCAAACATCAGGACAGCAACCGGCAAACATCAGGACAGCAACCGGCAAACATCAGGACAGCAACCGGCAAGCATCAGGACAGCAACCGGCAAACATCAGGACAGCAACCGGCAAACATCAGGACAGCAACCGGCAAACACCAGGACAGCAACCAGCAAACATCAGGACAGCAACCGGCAAACATCAGGACAGCAACCGGCAAACATCAGGACAGCCACCGGCAAACATCAGGACAGCATCAGGCAAACATCAGGACAGCACCAGGCAAACGACAGGACAGCATCAGGCAAACGACAGGACAGCATCAAGTTTATGCTTCTACTTGATTCATACTGGCCACCAGTTGTTACGTTCTGCGTTCATTTCAAATCAATAACAACGCTTCGTGTATAACTTCACTCCTTTTATTTGTCTCAATGCATTCAAGCGTACCATAACAGCCCTCGTCCTAACCGCTACTAACCCGCTGACTGCCCCCCACAATCGTTCACTCCCCCTTTTATACCCGCATTCGACCTTGGGATTACAAGACATAAACACACAAGGGTAACTACACAGTAAGGTGAACTCCACTCACACAGGCACTCTCCCCTAGTTCTAGACTATTCTAACCTATTCTAAACTAACCTACAACTGGCCCGTAAGTTCCGTTCTTGAACTCACCTTGGGAGGTCTGCAGCCCAACATTTCAAGAACTGTGAGTTTTTTCAGTGGGTTTTTTTCCAGACATTATTCTACGGGGGGGGGGGGGGGGGGGGGAGGCACTTGAAATTTTCGGGGGTGGGGGGGAGGCTATGTCGTAAAGTAGACTCGTGGACTTGGCAACAATTTCAATAGAATGTGATCAGAGCCGGCGTTAGGGGGTGGCAAACGGGGCGGTCGCCCCAGGCCCCGCGCTTGAAGGGGCCCCGCGCTTCAGCAACGCCATTGTTGCCTGAATTAGTTTGTAAACTTAAATAATCTTTGCTGAATTAAATTTAAAAAACCCCAACTAAATGGCCGAAATTGTTGGATGTTAAAACTGAGGCCACGGCTGATGTTAGTGAGTTATCCTCTACATGGACTGGGACAGACCGTTATTCTAAAGAAAGACATTAGTGTCACACATCGCTGACACGGTCGACTCGCTATTGTCCTGAGGTGACTGGAGATGGCGGTCGCGAATTAGCCCCCGACCTGACATGGGAGGTAAAATCGGGAAAAACGTAAACAGATACCCTATTGTTTGCGGACCGTTGAAGACGTTTTTTTAGTGAGCAGGCGGGGGTGCCTGTAGTAAACAGTCAGTGACCTGATGATGGCTTGCAGAGGAGGGGGGAGGGGGGAGTGCGGATGGGGACATGCCCCTTCCCTGGAAAAAACTTTCAAATTTTCGATTTGCACCCCCCCCCCCCCGCCTCAAACTTTCAATTTGCACCCCCCTCCCACCTCAAACTTTCGATTTGCACCCCGCTCAAGTCTTTGATTTTCACCCCCCCCCCCTCAAACTTTCGATTTGTACCCCCCTCAAGTTTTTCTCTATATATTTTGCTATTTTTTGCCTTGGTGTCACCCCCCTCAATGGTGTCACCCGGTGCGGTCCGCACCCCCTCCCCTCGCTACGCCTCTGTGTAGGGATATTCAGTATAATAATTAAGGCCATAGTGATTCTTGTTTTAAAATAGTGTAGGCACACTAAACAAATTATAAAGTCTATACTGTTTGATACATC